CCTATTATACGCTTTTTATAACCGTGAGCCTGACGGCGATACGTAACGGGCTAAAACGGACAATATCTACTAGTGATGAGTTTGGACTGTTATAAATGGTATTAGAGCCAGACAATGAATAGTGAGCCACCAAGGACGTTGGGCCTCCAAGGGGTGGATTGTGAGATCCCAGATTGGTTAGAGAGGGAAACAAAACATTATGTACAAGATGTGGAAACATCTCCCTAATAGATTCATTTAAAAACCACGAGACTAACGATGATATGTAATAAGCGTGTATCTCAAAAATACTCTTAAATTTTAAAAAGTTTCATTAATACTCAACTAAAAAAAAAAAAAAAAAAGTTAAAAAATATCATTTCATTAATATTCTATTTAAAAAATACTCATAAAATTTTAAAAATAATAATAACAAGATTTTCATTTATAAACAAAAATCCATATTTATTTATTTCGTAAAAAAAATGGAAAAAAGATTTTTTTAAAAAAAAACTACCTCAATCATACATTCAAAATTTTAAATATAATTAAACTCTTAAATATTTTGCAAAATAATTTATAAAATTTTATAATAAGAGGAGTGAGATTTAAAATGTATGAGCATACTAAAATGTGTGGAATAAAGTTAGGTTTAGAAAGGAAGGATGGGCTTAGCTGTTTCTTTGCCCAATTGGTTTATGATACCATATTTGACCCATCCTATTATCACTCACAAACTCATTGGTTGCCTCCACGCGGATAAATGCCTCTCAGTACCAATTTTCAAACCAACATATAGTTATTTTTTATTTATTTATTTTGTATAGTTTCCAAAAAGGGCAGAAAATAAAAACTGCTGTTGTTTTTTTTAATCGAAATTAGCACAATAATTATAAGGTTAAAATGGTAATTAAATAGACTAAAAAAACGAACAAATAAAAAGTATATATTTTTCAAAAAGGGCAAAACTTACTTGTAAGTTGGGCTGCACTTAAGCTTTGCAGCCCACCACGTTTTAATTATATATTAACAACAATTATTACATATAGTTATATATTGTTATTATTATTATATGAATTTCAAACTAAATATATTTAATTATTCTAATAATTATTTTCTCTCACGATACTTCTTTCCTTCTTTTACCATACCGACAATTCTATCATCGTCGTTCATGCTGTCATTATTGTGAATTCCACAATCGACGTCAACGCTTCGAATGGTAGCCAATGAAAAATTTACTTAGAAGTTACGTTAAAAAACCCATTCTCGAGCTTTTAAATTTTTGTTTTCGTTAAATGATTCATCAACTTGGTACTTAAATAAAATAAGAACCTTGTCACAAGCTTACATAAACAATAGCTTTATATGCAAGTTGTTCTTTGAATGAGTAGTCTATCAAACTCAACCTAGTTTAAAAAATTGGATATTTTAATTTTGGTTCTAATTTTTTTTTTAAATTAACCATTTAAAGAGTAAAATTTAAATTATAAGGATTTCGAACTAAATCCTTAAATAATATAATACTTATATTTGAGTAACAATTAGTTCTTATATTTAAACATATTTAACTTTTAATTAATTTAAAATTAAACTCTTAACTTTAATATAATCGAATAACAACGATGGGACGTTAATAAAATAGGATTTTAGAAGTAATAATTTTATTTAGAAATAATATATATATATATATATATATTTATTTATTTTAAGTAAAAAATATAATTGAGGTATGTCGGATCGAGATCCTCAAATCTAGATTTACTCGTGGAAATAGTCGTTAAGTATAATATAAACAATTTAGTAGAAAGTAACCCAAATATATTAAATAAAAAAGTCTTTATTTATTTATTTATCATTATTATTATTATTTGGATAATATCACAAGTATCGTAAAAGACTTTGTCCTCATTTTAATTTGTATTTACTCCATAAATTGGATTCAATTTCTCAAAAAAAAAAATAATAATAATAATTAATTAATTGGTTTGACATTTACGTTATTGAAAGTCCTTTTTGCCCTTTCCTTCGCAATTAAAAAGGTCTCAAGCAAACTCAAATTTTCAAGCCTTTAGTTTTTTCTTCTGTTCTTCGGAACAATGGCACTAAATACAGATCCCATGTGTTTAGACATTAATATAGTTTCAGCCACAGGCCTTACTGGAGTTGACCCAGCGTCCAAACCCAAGCTATACGTCGTCGTTTCATTCGTCGGCGCCGCGGTGAACCAGCAGAGGGCTCGGACCAACGTGGACAAGGACGGCGGCGGAAATCCCACGTGGAACTTTGCAGTGAAATTCGCCGTGGACGTGGAGGGAGTAAAGCAAGGTATAGAGACTAGTCTTGTCTTTGCTCTTAAATACGAGGATGGGAGGGGAGACAGAGATTTAGGGGAAGTCCACGTGTCGGTTGCGGAGCTTTTGCAATCTGCTGGAGATGGAAAATCCATGCGATACGTTGCCGTTTCGTATCCGGTTAGAAAACCGTCGGGACAGACGGTGGGCATGTTGAATTTCGAATATAAATTTGGTGGTTCTCCGGTGAGTGATACACCGTCGGCTGGTTTCCCCACGAGGTAATATAAAGAAAATAGAAAGAAAAATAATAAATTATTTTAAAAAATACTCTAATATAAATTCTTACGTTAATATTAGTATTTTCTTTTCACGTTACCAGAAGCATTGGCATATATCCACCGCAATATTGCTATCCTCCGCCACCACCTGCTGCAGGATACGGCAGCTACCCACCACCACCACAACCGTCCTGTCCATATCCACCGCCTCAATATCACTACACTCCGCCGCCGACATATCAATCGTACAACGTTGGACCATCTGCAACGTTGCCGTATCCACCAAACAACGCCGGACCATCAGCAGCGCCACCGTCACCCTATCCACCGTACAACATCGGACCATCAGCAGCGCCACCATCACCATATCCACCGTACAATATCGGACCATCAGCAGCGCCGCCGTATGCAAATCCATATTCACCACAACCAACTCACGTGCAGGCACGTGCACCTCCGGTTGAGCAACGGTCGACGCCGAAGAAGAAAAAATCGGTATGGGGATCAGCACTAGGGGTGGCCGGTGCAGTTGCAGTGGGAGTTCTCTCCGGCGTAGTGGGGTCGTCGCTTGAGCTCCCGGCGGGGCCAGATGTCACGGATTTAACGGCTGGATTTCAACCTCCGGATCCAACGGCTCTTGCCCCAACAGATCTCTCGTTCATTAATACGTTTGATCCTGAAGCTTTCAGGGATGCCACTTACGTTGATTACAGTTCGCTTATTTAATTGCTACCTTAATTTTCAATGTCCCAAGTTGTTGTTGTTGTTTTTTAATTTTATTTTAATGTTGTGTGTTTAAAGAATGAATTTTGACTTCGTATGTAAATTTATTGAAAATTTCTTAAAATAATTTGATATTATTTAGAACTTCTAATTTGCAATTAATTTAGATTTGACTATAATTATAATAGTTTTAAAATTTTTAATATTAATTTTTATAGAAATTAAATTTAAAATTTTAAAACTATAAATTAAATTGTGGGATCAAATTTATAACAAAATCTATAGTAATGTAACATAATCAATAAATTATTTTTTTATGAGAGTTTTATTTCGATTCTTTAACTTTCAGAATTTTAAATTTAACGTTTTAACTTTCATTAAATATATATTCTGATTCTCACTAAAGTGATAATTGAAATAGGATATCTAAATAATAAAAAGTAGTGTCATGAAATTCCATTAAAAAAATATCGAATTAAAAGATGGATGATAAATTTGTAATTTTATTTAAAGGGTATTTTGGTAAATATGAAATTATCAATAAATTCTTTTAATTACTTTGTTTATCCAAATCAAATCCATAATAATTCCTTCAAATCTAGCAATGAATTTGTTTTTAATTTTGAAAAATAAAAAAAAAAGGAATAAAATCAAAGTCAATAAAATTGTGAATTTGTGCATGCATGAGAATATATTAAAAGGCAACAAATGTCACGTCTGAAATGCTTGAAAAAAACTTATTTCAAATATTCATTGAAAATAATTAAACTTTTTAGGATTATTATCTAATTAATTCAATCATGACAAAAAAAGAAAATAAATAAATAAGGTATGTAATCTTTTTTTTCCAATTTTGTCCAATCAGTGGAATTTATCCTTCATTTCAATGTTTTCTACTTTATTCTATTTTGGAAAAAGAAAATCAAAATGAAAATGATTTTCTCCATTCCTTTTTTTATTATTTTATTTTTATACCATAAAAAATAGAAAATAGAAAATCAAAGGTAGATACCAACCCTACCACTAGCCACTAGGTTTGTTCATTATTCTCATATATTTATTTTAAATAATTATTGATCATTAAAAATAAATAAATGTTTGTTTAAGGGAAATAATGGAGAATAAATTCATATTTAGGTAGATAGGGACTTAGTTAAATTAAAAACATTGATACCAAAACCATGAAAATATCGAATCGTGTCTTTGGAGAAGCTTTCGTGATAAGAACAACATGGGTGTATAAATTAAGGGAAAATAATCATTTATATAATAAGTTCGGTGTGACGTATTAATCTTTATTCTAAACTTTTAATTTTGTCAATTTAAATCCAAGACTTTAGTGTTTTATCCCTGATTCAACGCTAAATTTAGTTTTACAATAAAAAATTTAATTTTTTAAATGTTAAAAATTAGAAACAAAATGAGATTATATCTTTATTTAACGAGTAACTATTACAATATATCGAGAATAAATAAAGTTCTAGAAGCACACATATTCTATATATTAATTTAAAAAACTCGAGAATAATTTTTCGAACACCTTGAGAATAATTAATTAAAAAGAATAAACATGTTTAATTAAGAGGATCATTTTATTTATTAAAAAGAAAAATGAGAGATTGGGTGGAGTTCTAGAGAAGATTAATCAATAATAATAATAATAATTATTTATTTATTTATTTCCTCCTCTATCTATATATATATATATAGTTAAAACAAGCACCAAATTATCCCAATTCAGTTGTCTCAAAATCTTAGAGAGCTTTTTTGTTTAAGAACTCTTAGCTATGTCTGGCGTTTGGGTGTTCAAAAACGGCGTCGTTCGTCTGGTGGAGGACGCCGGAGTGGATAAGGGGAATGGCGGGCAGAGGTCGACGTATCGCCGGAAAGTGCTGGTGTACAGTCCGACGGAGGAGGTGATGACGTCATATGCGGAGCTGGAACAGAAACTGATGGCGTTGGGTTGGGAACGTTATTACGACGATCCAGATCTGCTGCAATTTCACAAGAGATCGACGGTCCATCTCATTTCTCTACCGAAAGAATTCGCCAAGTTCAGATCCATGCACATGTACGACATCGTCGTCAAAAATCGAAACCATTTCGAAGTTAAAGATGCCTAAGCCATCTAATTCTCAAATAATAATAATAATAATAAATACAATAAAGAACCAAAAAAAAAAAAAAAAAAACTGATTTCCTCGCCCTCTCTACTACTTTGCTTAATCTTCTTGTGAGATATCTCTTAATTCCCAGTTGCTTGTGAAAAGTCACGATTTAATTTAGAGCTTGTTTGAGGAATAAACAAGTTGTGCTCTCTATCAGTTCATCCAGACAGAAACTTGGAGTCAGGGCCGATTCAAAAGAAATGTTATAACCAATCGTCAACGAATTTATTGTCTGAGAAGTGATTTGGAGATGGTCAACTTTCACATGAAATAAGGTAAAAGGACGAGCATGTGTGATATTGTTTTATCTACGTTTGCTAATAGTTTGTTACAAATTTAGAAATTTAGTATAGAGGTTTGAAGTCCAGAGTCAATAGTTGTATGCATGGTTTCAAATGCTTTATGTCAAATGGAATTGTCGGTTACTTTGTTTTCGTCACTTAGAATATATTTTTTCTTTCCATTTAATCGTGGATACTTCTTTTGGTTTAGTTGTGGATCCTGAGATTGACATCAATCGAGAATAGATTACAAGACACTCTATACAATACTGTAGACTATTTTGATAAGGACATAAATTATTTTCGGTAATTTTCAACATCAATATAACAAAGTATATAACAAAAGTATAATAGAAAAAAAAAAGCTGTAGTAAACAAAATTTTGAAAAAAATAGAAAGAAAATAAGGAAAATATTTTTTTTTTTAATTCATCGTTACCTTGCGTTAGTGAAATCGAAGGGAGTATATAGAATTATTTTCTTCCTATTTATATAAATATTCTTTTAATTTTATATTTTATTTTAAAAAAATATTCTTAAATTTTTAACCGTTTTAATAAATATTCAAACTTAAAAAAGATTAAAAAATACATTAAAATTTAAAAAGAGAAGTAAAAATATCTTTTGAGTTTTTAAAACTTTCATTAATACTTTTAATTTTTAAAAAAAATAAAAAATACATATACCTATTAAAAAGGTTAGAGATAATCTATGAGATGACTAAACAATTTTCGTTCATATATTTAAAGTTTAAAGTAAAAGATGTTAATACTATTTTTAAAATCTCATTGATATTTTTAAACATAGTAATACGAGAAGAATATAAATTTTTTTAAAGTTGTAAGAGTATTAAAAATTTAAGAGTATTTTTCAAAAATACTGACAGTAAAAATATCATTCAAATAGAAACTTACATGTATAAAAAATATATCAATGTTGAAGAGAAAATGCATTGATCATACAGCTCCCAAGCCAAAGAAAACACAAGCCTAAAGGCTAATAAAGGCTAAAGCTTTCCCTAAGGTACAAATTAATTGGTGCAATTGAATCCATGACAAATGGAAACCCAAATTATGAGCACAAGAGCTAACAATATCCCAAGAACAACTAGCTTTATCTTCATGTTCTGATACCACATCTTCCTTCTCAGTTTGGTTCCTTGTCCTCTGTAAGTCTGCGCCTGTCGATATTCAAAAAATGTCGATCATTCTCGAGTCGTCGTTTGTTTCTACTGATATAAGTTCTTTAGAATGGTAGGGTTCGATCAACTTACCTGATCTCGAAGATTCTCCGTTTTGTCAGCTAGAGTATTGATGTTGTCACCTCTCTCAAATGCCTGAAAGGATATTAAAAGATCTCATAATGATGCGTTGAGCGAGAATGAAGTAAGAATCTCGATTTCATGGAAAGGACAATGAGGAGGCATAGATGTTCAAGGTGTAAATGATTAGTTCGGCGTCGGGTTTTAGTATAAGTCGATCTTGAACTGACTTTCAGCTTGCAAGAACTAGCAAAAAGGAATTACCTGTAAACTGACTACCCAACTCAAACCACCAAAACCGCCAAACCGAAGCTAATTGAAGTAGTCTTTGCGTTTTCATATAGTTTGAAGCCAACTTCAACCGACAAAAAACGGTCTAACTGCTCGGTTTTGTTTGATTCAATAACTTACACCACAAGATGATGCTCTAAAATCGTGTTCGATTCTACCGGATATTGTCCTCTTTGGAATTTCCCTTCCGGGGTTCCTCTCAAGGTTTTTAAAACACATATGTTAGGGAGAGGTTTCCACACTCTTTATCCTTATAAAGAATGCTTCGTTCTCCTCCCCAACCAATGTGGGATCTCACAATCCACCTCCTTCGGGGCCTAGCGTCCTCGCTAGCACTCGCTCCCTTCTCCAATTGATGTGAGACCCCCCAAATCCACCTTCCTTTGGGGCACAGCGTCCTCGCTAACACACTGCCCGATATCTGACTCTGATACCATTTGTAACAGCTCAAGCCCACCGCTAGCAAATATTGTCCTCTTTGGACTTTCCTTTTGGGCTTCCCAGTTATCTTAAAGTAACTCAATTTTAAGTAGGCCAACTCGTGATGATTATCTTTATTCCAAAGATTTTAAAACACGAAATGAAATGATAACCGATAAACATCAAATCCATGTTGATATACGTTATTTACCTTGTCGAGATTCTCCAACATTATACCCTTAACTTCCGATACTTGCGCCTTCACTTTTATCAACTTTTCAATCTCTTCGGCGTGTTCGATGATATACTTCATGTGCTCTTTCATAACTGGTCTGCAAAAAATCCATGAAACTATGCCTCTTCATACAGCCAAGGCAGATATACAAATGCATATTCGAGATAACGTTTTACATGTCTACACGAACATACCCGAAATCCTTGTTAAGACTCTTTGCAACAGCAGTATCGGCTTTACCGCCCCCATATCGTTTCTTAAAGTCAGTTTTCATCCGTTCCAAAAACGATATGGATATCTGCTTACTTTGAGATTCTTTCGCCACAACACAATAAGCTGCAAGACTCCATGAAGGCACCATGTATACAATATTAAAGCAAAAATTCTTACAGCCAAAAGTTTAGGCTACCAAATAGACTAATTCAAAACGCCTTGGAAAAGAATGAAGAAACAAAATCTCCACAAATTTGAACTCAGAAACTTCACATTTTGATGCCGTATTTGAAGCTATTCTTAACAAACATTTTACAAGCATTTCCACATTGAGTAGCTGGATTTAGCTATCTCAGAACCGTTCGATTGCATGATCATTTTCAATTATTGCCGAATTTTGAGAAACTTAAAATGAAATTGCCGTTCAGACGATGAACAAAGTTCAAACAAGCTTTACCTAAGCTAAAAATCCACAATCAATCAGAACGAACACAAAGAAACTCTTCCAAATTCCTTCATTCCGAACGAATTTGAGCAAATTAACAGCAAAAAAATTGGCGTAATAAAAGAAATCCAGCATTAATCAGACTAGATCCAACAAATTTCATCTGCAATTCAACTCCCCGCTCAGTTCCTTGCCAAAAAAGATCGAAAAGGAAGTAAATCAAAACTAAGAGAAGATTCAAAGCATTCTTACCATAACCATCTTCGACGAGGAAATTAAAGGTATGATGGTCGCAATTGTAAGTGAACTTATTGTTAGCAGAAGGAAGCTTCTGAAGGCACTGATTCGCAATCGCCGGAAAATTTCCGGTGAACTCGGTAAACTCGGCTAAGATCATGGTTCCTCGAGCCACGAAGCTGTAAATGAACGAGTCTTGACTCATCTTCTTCGAAGCGAATGAGTGAGCCAACTCGGACGAAGAAGAAACAGAGGAAAAATCGCGGTTGGGGAACTCGAATGAACTTGCGTTTGGGAAGTTAATAAAAAGGGAGTGTTTGGCTTTGATTAGTTTCCTTTTTTGCGAAGAAAGGGAAATTCTTATATGTCTTTCTCACTTTCATTATTCTTATTAGCGCCAAGATTTAGGGGAAGCTTCAATTAATTAAAGATTTGGTCCTAAGTTTGCGTAATCATGTCGTGTTTAAAATAAATAAATCATAATTAGGCCTATTTTTAGGACGAAATACACTTTTAATTCCTTAAATTATTTTCTCTATTAATTTTAATATATACCCATTTTACCCGATACAACGATTCAGGCCCTATTCATTGAGAGAAAAAGTGTTTTTATTTGCATACGAGTGTGATCGAGCCTGAAAATGGTGAAACGTTAGGGATCTAATTCATTCATGAATTCTTAATTTTTTTTTTGTAAATTCCTATTTTGTCCTTCAAATTTCTTGGATCACACAAATCGATTGATGCAGATGGGCTATCTATTCACGTTGAGATGTCCATTTTCAAAAATGGTATTTATTTGTAAATGGGCGTAATCGATATAACTATTAGGAGACATTTTTTTACGATTGAATAATTAAATAATAATATATTAATTTAACGGTAACCTTATTTCACAACCAAAAGAATTAAGAACAAATACTTTTTAATATTTGAAGTTTTTAAAATAAAATAACAATATTAAAGAAAAACAGTAAATAATGATATGCGACAAAGAAAATAAAGTATGTTTAGAAATATTTCAATTATAAAAGTAAATAAAAACAGCTTTAAAAAAATGACGCAAATATATTCGTATTATTTTTTACTTTAAAAAAACAACATACCCAAGAAGTACTCCGTATATGATTTTTCAGTAAAACAAGCAAAGAATTGTTTTTGATTTGTCTGACGAAATAACTTCTTTAGTTTACTTTTTTTTCTTTTCTTTTTCTTGGCGTTTCCGATGATCTGATCGGTGCGACAGTAAATTATTTTTTTCACCTTGTTTTTATTAGAAAGAAATAATTGTAATATCGTGTAAGAGAATAATATAAAACAAAGTGAGAATAATTTTTTATACACAAAAATAATATTTTAGTCAACAAAAAATTATTAATGTTGGATAAGCTAATTTAAGAAATAATCATGAGTTCATAATAAATGAATATTATATTGAGAATTTATGTTCCTGGAGAAGCCCAAAATAAAGGCATGAGAATTTATGTTCAAAGTGGATAATATTATATCATTGTCGAAAATCGTGTTCATCTAACATAGTATCAGAATCATGCCTTAAATTTACAAATATATTAATTTACAATTTATTCTAGCTTTTATTTAAAGGTGCTTGTTTAGTTACTCATACAAATTTATAATTATACCATTAAACTCAACTTTTTCATAAATTAATTAATTTATTTTTTGTTTCATGCATGGACAATTTTTAACAGAAGAGATACATTTTTTTGGATAATTTTTAATTTAAAAATATAAATTAAGTCATTTATTAAAGTGGAGAGCTAAATTAACTAATTTTATCAATATCCTTTTTTTTTCAATATTAAATAATTAAAAATAAGTGTGAGCTGAGATTTGCCTCCATTTATCCTACTGCCGCTTTATAACAGCCCGCCAAAAATGCTTCTCCACCAAGCCCGTTATCCTTTACTATAAATAACGTTTCGCGTAGGACTTTTTTGCATTTTTAGCGGATATGATCTCTTAGGCGCTCTCGATCCGACTTCTTCTCTTTCTCCTCATTCAGGTTTCCTTCTCTCTTATCATCTGTAATTTGATTTGTAAATTCGTGTTTAAAATCTGCACTGCGTTTGCATTTTGATCTGATCTGTTTCCGTCGATGTTGTTCCTTTCTTTAGGAAGAGATTGAGATTCCGATTGGCTTGAAATCGCGGTGTTCTACTCGGAAGCTTCCTTGAGTTTTCTGTTCATCGATGTTCTTGTGCACTTTGAAGGATACAAGAAAACAGAGGACGATTCATCGGAGATTCGAGTGAGTTGATTCTTAACCGACTTGAATTTACTTCTTAAAAATGTTTGTGAATATGAAGCTACTGAAGCTCGAGATCAGATATTGTGTTTCTAATTTATGAATGAAAATTTATTGGATGCCAGAACCAAACACTAATTCTTTAAAAAGTCGATCGTTCAAACATGCGGTAGTTCACTACGTACTAACGAATTAAATTGAACTAGAGGAGGTAGATGTAACTGTAATAGCTATTATATTTTTAAGTATGTTATGTTCTGTTGAGTTGAAAGTCTGTTTAGTCATTATGATTTCTTAGTCTATAAATATCAGTTGTAAGGCATCTTTTTAAAAAAATGAAGAGTATCTGTACGATTCGTGAAGATTATTTCATGATATCGGCGCTTTTTTTTTTTTTTTTTTTTTTTTTTTTTGTGAATAATGTCGTTTGATCCTTCTTCAAAGCGTCCAGTTCGTTTCCACTTGTCATCTTCGTTCATTCCTTTGCTATAGTTGATTCCACCGATCGTGACATGCGTTCACCGATTTTTGTCCTTTCAAACATTTGTGTACTTGTATCCGTATGACTGGATTCCTCGAATCTTCGCCTCAACAATCTTAGTTCCAGACTACTGCCACATACTTTTCCGATAGAACTTCTTCTAAGCAAATCCTCTGTCTGAAGATTACCACATCTCATGCACTCATGATTCTTATCAACACTACGTTATCGCCTCCAGCCCTTGCGTATGTCGTTGGCCGTGAAACATCATGTCAGATGTAGGAAACTCTAGAAAAACACTATTCTTCAACCTCGCGTGCCAATTTTGTCAATCTATGCTTTAAAAGGGATGCCTATTGCATATAATACATTTCGTACATCTTTACGTACGTGATCGTACTTTGTTTCTTTTGATGAACTTCTTGTTCTTCTTGTCATTGAGGAATCTGCCATCGAGATATAGTTTAAGCGTAACCAGAATTTTCTTCACCGGCTACTCTTCTTACTCGAACAGGATTCTCTAAGAAATCAGAATCTAATCCTAGTGTCTGTCGTAACTGAGGTGATAATGGTAGAGGACGTGGTAATTGGGTTAAACCTGGAAATTATATGCCCTACGGAAGTTGGTCGAGGTTTTGGTCCTCCTCAAGATTCTTCTAATAAATTTTAGTTGAATCAAACAGCCTCAAAGATACAAATTATGTGTTGAGGATGGTTGGAGTCCCATATTGATTGTTATAATCGCATGAACAACAGCTTCCAAGGTCCACATCCACCATCTCAGCTTGCTGCTATGGTGGTTACGCAGAACTATAATGTTGTTGCAAATACATCTACTGTTTCCAATTCTTCCATCGTGTTACTTCCGATTTAAATAATTTTTCTGTTGCAAATGAATAGTCTGGAGAGGAACAAGTAGCTGTAGCCTGTAGGCAATGGTCAATCCCTCCTAATAAATTCAGGTCGTGTTATTCTTCCAACTCCCTTAAAACTTCTTGATCTTATTCGAGTTCCTCTCATTTCTTCCAATCTTCCTTCTGTTAATCGCTTGTGTGCTGACAAAAATTATATTATAATTTCCGAAAATGGCTTTTTCCTCCTTTAGGACAAGTCTTCGAGCAAGATTCTTCACCGAGGTCCCAACATTAATGGCCTTTATCCTATTCATCCTGCAAAATATACTTCCTTTCCAAGTCCACTTGGTATCGTTCATGTTGGAACAGAACATCAACTTCAGTCTAGCATAAACTAGTCAGGCATATCCTAGAAGTTACTTCGATTTTAATGACTCAATTTTCTCTTCCTAACAACTTTTGGCCTTTCGCTTTTGCTGCTGCTGTCTTTTTAATCAATCCTCTTCCTACCCCAACTCTAAACCTTCTTTTTAGCCTTTTTTTTTTTTTTTTCCATAAGCCACTCGATTATACAATTCTTAAAACCCTTGGTTGTCTGTTATACATTTCTTAGGGCCTACACTTCAGCCCAAAAGAACTCGTTTAGTTTTACTTGATTATCCTAAAGACTTTGTGGGATATCTGTGTTACAAAATGAGCAATAGGCGTCTCTATACATCTAGGATAATCATGTATACTCTGAGGGATATCTTGTGCATAGTAATCGTTCTATTATTATTATTTTTTTCTTTCTTTCTTTTGATTCTTTTTTTTTTTTTTTTTTCCTCCTTCCAAATTACCACTGATGTTATTAATTTTGAATTTCCCACTCTGCTGTTCTTGCTAACACTTCTGCAGCCACTGAGTTGACTAGTGGATCACATATGGTAACTGATGTTTAAGATCCTTGTGTTGTTCAAACTGATATTGTTGCATCGGACGCTATTCGGCCTGCTCCAGTTAATACTAATGTTTCATCATCTTACATGCCTCTTGTGCATGGTAATCGTTCTATGAAAACCATATCAAAGCACAAAGTTTAGTTGCTATTACCAATGTTTGTTCTGATTTGGAACCATCCTCTTTCACAAAGCCTTCTTAAATTTTCGGCTAACACTTTGGAATATTAGTTTTTTTTTATTGTAACAGCCTAAACCCATCGCTAGAAGATATTGTTCTCTTCGAGCTTTTCTTCAAGGTTTTTAAAACACCTCTACCAAGGAGAAAATAACTCTTTTCCCTACGGGCAAAAGTGTTATTGGTTGGAAGTGGTTCCGAACAATGCACTCTCCTTGCGTATCTTATTTAGTGGTTCTCAGATGAGTGCTTTGATATCTTGGAGGAACAATGACGAAAGGTTTCCTTTTTCGAAGGCCAATTCTAATACTTTTTTTTGCTCATGACATATTCTTACTCTGATTGGGCTGCTGATCATCTTGATTGCTGTTTAACTACTGGCTTTGTGATCTATCTAGGCTCCATAAATCTCGCAAGCTACCGGAAGCTATCAGACCTATTACGAATTCACGATTGCCAAACAGGAGTGCTCAATCACTTGATCCATTTCAGGTACTAAGTTTTGTTATCATTAATAAAATTTGAATTCTATTTTTTTAATTATTTTGTGCATGTGCGTGATACTCAATCGATTGCTTGAATTTAATTTACATACTTTGGTTGCATCACAAC